CCAGTAAACCTTGTTTTCTTCGTCCTTTTTATTCTTAGGGAATYGTGATTGGAATTGGAGAGAATTCAGAGTTTGGAGAAATTTTTAAATTGATGAAGGCTGAAGAGGTAAACATTTCATATCTTCTAGAAATAAATTTTTGCAGTGATACATCTAGATGATTGTCAATGTCATCATCATCGCAACAAGGACAATATTACATCTTCAGCAGGGGTGTAGCCAGGATTTTTGAGAGAGGGGGGGGGGGGGCAAATTTAAAATTCTGTCTTTCATTTGAGCCCCTGAAGCGCCAAACCAAAACAGAACTGGATTACTGCATATTTTTAGAGAAATAAAGAATAAGGTATTGAAAATTACCATAWAGATTTGAAAAAAGGCACCATTTTCTTGCCACAGGGGGAGGGGGGAGGAGGGGAGGGGCTGCCCCCCTTGGCCCCCCTTGGCCCCCCCTGCCTATGCCCCTGTTCAGTATAATCATCATCATCATGATTGCTATCATCTTCATCACCATCATGACTGGCATGATCATCTTTGCCATCAGTTTTACTATCATTATGATAACCATTATCGCGCCATTAACATTAGTTAACATTCCATACTCTTACCACCACTGTCAACAATGACAGTATAAAGAAGGTCATTCTAGCAACTGTGAGCATGGATTAAGAGCGATCGATTGATTATTAACAACCATGGCCAATCTCAATTGATCATCATAGATATCTCCTAATTTGAAACGTGAGACTGTTCTGAGTAAACCATTCTAACAGTTGCATGAGGTGYCAATCAATCAATTATAGTGAATGGATCTGTGCTCAGATGCTACATGTACATCTGAATGGCCTATGCTCCAACAATACCATTACTATCATCATTATATCGTTATTACTATGACCATAATCACCAATGTTCTTTACCATAATCTTCATTATCATTAGAACATACATGTACCACCATTGTCATCAACACACTGTCACCATCATCAATCTATACCATCATTTTTTCCTTGATTACCTTTATTATCACCACACTCTTCTTCTCGGTGCTTCTTATGCCAGTTTTGCATTGCATTGTCTTTTATTCCTACCATTAAAGTAATCTTTATTAATTAATACCACAGCCACCCAAGACTCCATTACAGAAGGACATGGATATCCTTGGCAAACAATTATCATTCTATTCACTTTGTATCATAGGTGGGTACGAAATCTTATGTTTAGTAATGACACCATCTAGTGGCTTGACAAATAGAGTACTGTATAGTACCAATGTGTGACCTCATCCAATAAAATGTCAACATTTGAAGAAAGAGGAGAAACACTGCTTACTATTTTTGTCAACTCTAAAATTGCTGGAAGCTTTAAAAATGTGGACTTGCCTACAGAATGACTTACATACATGAACCATATCAAGCTTAACCCTATATGTTAGTGTCAAAGTTGGAGTAGAGAAAGCTCACTCCATAATATATGGTATGATCAATTCCATATTTGGATTGTGCGGAAAAGCGGCAAACAAAAAGGGCGTCGTTTTATAACGAATTCGACATGAACATTTTTGAAGAAGAAAAGAAAAGAAAAAAAAAGACAAGTAAAAAAAGAGAAACTTTGGAAAATCGAGGAAGGATATGGGGATGATGCTAGCTCGTGGGTCTGCCTCGAGGCAGACAACGACATAGGGAAATACGACACTCAATGTTTGATATGTTGACTATGCATAAAATCACTTAAAAAATCATTAGTTGCTTTGCCCACCTGAACAAAATTTAGGTACATGTACCTTTTAGGGGTCGTTTTCATAATATTCAATGAGCATCCCAACGCTTTTCAGGTCACCCCCCCACCCCACAAACAAAATCCTAAATTTTAAAATAAATTTTAGATGTCATTACTTTGGTACTCTTTAAACCATTTGCATGATTTGACTACCAAAATGTTTACAATTTCTTGTTATTCAATTTTGTATTTCCTCATGAGAATAGTAAGACACCCTATAATATATAAAATAACACATATATAGTATATTTTACCATGCTCTCTTCATTAATATTGCGGACTAAGCACTTTTAAGGGGCACTCAAGACTAGTGACTATTTACGCTTCTTTCTTCACTTCTTTATCTCAGTCTTGAGATAAAGCTTTTGGATCTTTGGCTCATATAATGATATAAGTTATTTCTCATTCTTAGCTCTCATAATATTACTKGGTTGGATTCAGAAGCGTAAAATCTTAGAAATGTTTACAATTGGAGTCAGGTAAGGTTATAAAGCATCGTTAAGACCATTCTTCACATTAGAACAACAACAACAATGAGAACAATACATGACAATATTTTATTACTGCAGTTATCCATATTCTACAAACTCCGATGGTTTGTTGTGAAATGAAGAAATAGAAAATGCACGCATGTGCTGTGTGCTGTTATAAAGCACGCAGGGATAGGTAGAACACGAGAGAAGCGTTTGGAGAAGCAAGACACGTAGYGGAGTGCTTCTGGACACTTCTCGGGTGTTCTGCCAATCCCCAAGTGCTTTATAACTCCACACAGCACAGTGAGCAAGTTTTTTATTTCTTTTATAAAATACAAGTGCGCATGCGTGCTGTGTGCTCTCATAAAGCCTGCACTCCCAACCAATAAGAATGTGAGATTTATAACAGTTATTTACAGTTTTTTATAATAGGTTTTTCACTGCTGCCAGTCAAAAACATAAAAGGTACCAACTGATTAATTTTGGTTGATGGCATCGAAAACCCAAATTTCAGAGTGCAGCTTTTACAGAATATAGAATACTGCAGTAAATAAATATAATTATAGATATTTATTTTCTATTGATTTTTGACTTATGGACAGTAGAAAAAAAGTCATCATTCTTGTCCTTGCACCCTATGTTGCATGTAAACATAAAGTAAGATAGTAAAACAGTGTTTTTGTGTTGTTATTTTGTAGTCTTGCAGTAGCAGCTATCCCAGAAGGGTTACCCATCGTGGTGACAGTAACCTTAGCTCTTGGAGTCATGAGAATGGCTAARAGAAAAGCCATTGTAAAGAAGCTACCAATAGTGGAAACACTGGGATGTTCTAGTGTTGTGTGCTCTGACAAGACAGGGACATTGACCAAAAATGAGATGACAGTATCTCAGATTTTCACWGGAGATGGTTGTTTTGCAACGGTAATTATTAGAACTTTAAACTATATCTTAGACCAAGATAAACAATATATCATTGTGTAATGTTCTTCAATTACAGAGCACGTGTCATTCTCTAGAGTATCATTTCTTTGTTTAGCTAGGGCGTAATATTTTCCCATTTCAGACCATGTGTCATTCCCTAGAGTATCATTTCTTTGTTTACCTTGGGCGTAATGATTTCCCATTTCAGACCACGTGTCATTCCCTAGAGTATCATTTCTTTGTTTAACGATTGCACATGAGAAGACACATGAATATGAATACAACTCAAACAAAAAATCTTATTCTCAAGAGAATGACACATGGTCTGAAATGGGTAAACATCGCACCAAGGCAAATTAGGTCTATTAGCACTGCTATGGTTTCCTTTCTCACTTTCATACATGTAGCCTCCTGTAGCATTGATATGGCAGGTCATATTTGCTTTCTCATATTCTGAGCATAGCCAAAGTTATCTGTAGCACTTTCATGGTTTCCTTGGATTTATCTTGGCTTCCCATACATTGGTATGGCTTTTTAACAGTGCTGAGTTTCCTTTCATTGCTTTCTTGACACATTTTTGTAGCACTGATATGGCTTCTTAAAGCATTGGTATGGCTTTTAGTACTGTAAAGGCTTCCTGGTGCTATTGTCATGACTTCCATTAACTGACATGGTTTCCTCTAGCACTGATAAGGCTTCTCAAAGCATTGGCATGGCTTTTAGTGGTTTTGTTTTAGCACTATAATGGCTTACCGGTGCTTTTGTCATGGCTTTTATCAGCGTTGCCAAGGTTTCCTCTAGCACTGATATATGGCTTCTTAAAGCATGCGCATGGCTTTTAGTACTACAATGACTTATCTGTGTCATTGTCATAGCATTCATCAGCATTGGCATGGTTTCCTCTAGCACTGATAAGGCTTCTCAAAGCATATGCATGGCTTTTAAAACTACAATGGCTTCCTGGTGTCATTGTCATGGCTTTCAATAGCATTGCCATGGTTTCCTCTAGCACAGATATTGTTARAAGCACAAATTCCTTTAACATTGCCTTCACGTCCTAACATCTAATTCTCCTGGCTTCCTGTAACCCTAACATTTTA